GAAAAAGAGAATCTCCGCATTTCTCTCTTTGCGCGACTCATTTAGAATTTATAAATGCTGTGTCAGGTATGGGTAGTTAAACCACTGATGAAATAGTAGCTCATTTTGTGGAAGGAGAAACCTAATTGTTATTTTTCTCAACACTTTTGTCAATATTGTCATGCAGGGGATAAAAAATGAAGCCGCTTCGAAGCTCAATTCCATATATGATGAAATTCCGCCCTGCCATTGAAGAGCATGGGCGGGACAATCAGGATAGTGTGCCCACCAGCGTAGCAGAGAAGTGGATCGAAGCAAGCTGCTCCAAATACAGGGCAGATTTCGATTTTTACTTTTCTGTGATCAAGAATGTGATATGCCCTCGTCCAGCAACCAACGCCGATGCAGCGGGGCCTTCTGAAGGAGGAGCCGAACCTCAAACAGCCAATGCTGAAGTCAAGCCTTCTGAAGGAGAAGCTGAATGAAGTATTTGGCAAATCAATGACTTTAAATCTGGTATTTGATACCATTTGATCTTGAAACAATTTCGGACAAATTCCTGTTCTAAGTTAGGCTGGACATGGAAACTTAGGTTTTTACCAAACTAGACTTTGGTTGCTTCTCTTGCAGTCTTTCTCAGAGTTTGAACACTGAACACTAAAGGTTCAGGCTATAACTGAATTCTAATATGATGGTTGGACGTGTCGTACTATACTTTTGATTGATCTCTATACTTGCCCAACCCCCTTATTTTCGAGGATCGCAACTTCATTCCTGGACATGTTTTCTATGCATATACAAATGGAAAACAGTTTATGACAGAATTCATGCATAACCACTTGACCGCTCTGGGAATTTCATGCATAACCGTTCCACCATTTTTGGGTTTTCATGCATAGTCAGAGAAGTTCCTTGTAGTTGTTTCCCATTGGTAGTGTCCTGGGGGAAAAAATTTACCCGCACCTGGTGTTTAGGCCAAGCCACTGAATACATGGCAGTCTTTCATATGCACTTCTATCGCTAACTATAATTAATTACTCTATATTATCACTTCTATTTTTCACTTAATCATGGTAAACTAATATAATTGGTGTCAACACCTGGTGTAAGTAAGGAGATTTGGTATAAACTCACGGTGTTGAGTAAACACATCGTCTGTGATTGAAACCCGCAACAAGGACAGAAAATGGCAAAAATAAGTGAACTTTCCCTTGGAAATCGAGTTGGAATCAAAATTGTTGTAAATAGATGGCAATGAATATATAATTTCACATCACTTATGACTAGGGATGGTAAAATGGTTAAAAGAAAACAGTTAACCATCCATATTATCCACTAAAAAATGGGTTGGATAATGAACTTTTTAAAAACGGGTCAAATATGGATAAGACCCATATTATCCATTTAGAAAATGGTTAATGAATGAGTAACCAATGGGTATAACTTTTACATTTGTAAAGCCTTAAATTGGGGGTTCCTCAAGTTAGGGAGACTAAGGCCTCATTTGTTTGCACTTAATGGAGGTCTGAATCTTAATCATTCAGATCTCAGACATTAAGTGCGTTTGTTTTTAAAGTCTAAATCTTAATTATTCAGATCTTAGTCATTAAGTGTGTTTGTTTTTTTTACTTCACAACCACTTAATGGGTCTGAATAGGTCTGTATGATTAAGATTTATAACAGCGACTTAATTTCATTAAGATGCTATCACATATTCATTATTAACTGCCGCTACCGCCTACCATTATCAACTACCACCATACCGCCGCCACCACCATACTCAACAACCCCCATCACCTCACCACCATGCCACCATCATCCTCAATCATAGCCGCCACCATTATCAACCATCACCACCCACTATCCCCACCACTCCGACCACCATTATTCTCACCCACAATCAACATTCATCCACCTCAACTACCACAACTGACCACCCCATCACCATCAACAACCACAACCGGTACTGCCCATCTTATAACTTACCACCACCCACCCACCACCTTCCTCAGTCACAACTATTACCACCACCCGCCATTATTAACTATCACCACCCACCACCACCATCCTCAATTATAATCGCCACCACTACCAATCACTACCAGCTACTAGCAAGAACTATCATCATCAACCAAAACTACCACCAACCATCGCCTCTAGTCGACATTCACCCGTTAGCCATCACCACCACCAACTATCAAATTTAAAAAAACTATATATTTTATTGATAGAATATTAGATTAGTTAGTATTTCATTTGAATTTTATGTTTATTAATTTTCAAATAAAGATAAATTTTATACATTCAGATGTTAAAAATCAAACAATCTTAATTATTTCTATTCAAATCTTAATATATATCTTAATATACTCAGATGTGTATTCAGATTCAGATGTCTTAATCTTAATACCCATCTTGAAATTCAGATGTGTATTCAGATTCAGACGTCTTAATCTTAAAAAAAACAAATGAGGCCTAAGAATTCTCCCAAAAGTGATCATATGCAAGAAGTCATGGATAATATGGTTACCCATATTATCCGCCGGTTAATACGTTTTTTATCCGTATTTAATATGAGTTGGGTCGGATAAATTACCCATTTTTTCACCACCCGCTTTCGACCCGAACCATATCTGCCCCGCCCCGCCCGTTTGCCGCTCCTACTTATGACCCTAAATACAGAAGGAACCTCACGATCCAGCATTCAGGCACTCGTAAGAGAAAGCAAACCAAGTAGTTGACATATTATGGATGTAGCTATATCTAGAGGATCAATAAATTTCATTCATTACAAAAGTTTTAACAACTCATACACAAATAGAAAAGAGATGGTACCCTTTCCACTTTACCACTATTAATTTTTGAGTTTAATACACCAAAACCCCGTAGACTAATCATGTTTTTGTTAGTTTCCTACTTAAATTATTTGGTATCCCCACAACCTCCCTAAATTATATTCTCCTACATATTAAAACACCCTGTTCTATTTCTGATAGTGCGTATGTTACACGCTCCAAATTATCAAAAAAATTTGTCATGTGGCAATCCACCTGTGAAATTAATTAGCTTAACCTAAAAATCGACTTAATTAATTATTTTAAGTAATAATCCAATATTATTAGAGGGGTAAATATTCACCTCGTTAAAAATAAAAAAAGAGGGGTAGGGTAAAATCATTTCCGTCAATTCCCCTTTTCTATCCTCTCTTCCGATGATGGACACTACATCTCTCAGTAGCGATTTGCTTCATTAAGCTTCGTTGCAACCTTGATTTTCCCCCAATAACCCTCGACGACTCCGTCTTCTTTTATTTTTGTTCGAGATTGGGGATTAAAAACTAGAGTTTGCTGAAAAAATTTATGGTTCATTATGGTTCTAGCTGAGTAAAGATTATTTATAAAAATTCGAGATGCTTTGAAGGAGATAGCTATACACAAGGTAAAAATTCGAGCTGCTTTTTCCCAGGTTCCAATTTGATTTTACCAAAAGAATTAGATCTTTTCTGTGAGTTGTTGAATGTATGTTTCTTCTTTCAAACAAATTCAGTTAATAAGTGAAAGAAGAACAAAACGAGAAAGATATTCAGTAATAACAAGAGGGGGAATTTCAGGAGAACAAGATGGAGAAATGAAAATAAAGGTGAAGAAATGAGGAAGAATGGTGAATATATGAGGAAGAAGGTAGGATATAAAGGAATCTAGGAGAATATTGAAAAAAATTGAAAGAGTATAGGCTAATTAACCGTTATATGCTGTCAGTTGGGGCTCTTTTGATGGCTTATTTCAACCATCACGCGCTCAATAGTAAGTTATTACTGTTACGTGGCGCCTTCCTGAGATTCCTTGGAAGGGCGACGTAAGGCTAAGCAACTGATATCAGTGCAGTTACTGTCCGCCAACTAAGGTCCCCTCCGTACGCTAGACTAGATTGTTAGTGCCGTACAGGGAAACCAATGTCAAGAGCAATTGGGAGAATAGAAATGAGAATTGAGAATGAAAGAAAGCTTGATTGTATTAATGAAAGATATTACAGAAAAGCAACGCGGTGTCGAGGGGGAGAGACACCAGTACAGAGAATTGATTGTTTGCTAGAACGTTTGATTGCTTGATCCCCCCTAATAATGCTTTAAAAAAATAATCCAAAGCTACAAGACTAGACTTGACTAAGCTAGAGAAACATAATGAAAGTACATGAAATAAAACTACTCTATATTTACAATGAAAATGACTTAGTTTTCTATAAGGCAGCAGCAAGTCCGTTGTCAGCAACAGTGTCTTTGGCATCACGGTCTGTGCGCGCGGCGCTTTTGGCATCTGCCTGCGGCTTGGCGTTGACGAGGGATATCGGTGGGGCGACAGAGGCACCCGCGCGCTTGTCACTTGGCGCGGCCAAGACCACGGGGCCGTCCGTGGCGCTAGGCATTGGGAGGCTTGCTAGGACGCCACGGGGCGCGCCCAAGGGATCATGAGGCATGGATGGAAAGCCGCCCATAACATTCTCCCCCACCTGAGTTGGCGATGTCCTCGACGCCTTACTTGCAAAATAATCTTCAATGAGGCTCCTGTAGGCTTTGAGGTTTGTTCCCCTCTCCCAAGTATTCTCTTTTGCATCACATCCCAGCCATTTCACCAAGAACTCTTGGTGATCTTTCCTTGAGGCATGAATCACTCTGTCATCAAGGATAACTTCAACATGCCTTTTCCCGGTTGAATTGGGACCTCGAATACTGGGTATTGTGAGTTGGCCCATTGAAGGATCCTCCGTGTCTTCCCAGAATGGTTTCAGGAGACTGACATGGAAGACGGGATGAATTTTCCACCAAGCTGGGGTATCCACCCGATGTGTATTTTTGCAATAGGCGAGGGTCATGGAACCCCGCAAATAAGTACCGTTTTGGGATTTTGACCATCACTTTGTCTCCTACTTGATATTCAACAAAGCAACGATTCTGATCAGCATGCCTCTTCATCCGCTTTTGAGCTTTGACAAGATAGCTCCGCACTATCTTCAAATTCCGCTTCCACTCTTTTGAAAAGTTAGCAGCTCGAGGAGATTTAGCCATGTTTGGTGCATTCACAGTGTGTGGGAGTAGCGGTTGCTATCCGGTAACAATTTCAAAAGCGCTTTTGTTTGTACTAGAGCTCTTTTGTGAATTGAAACACATTTGAGCAGCATCCAGGAGCTTCACCCAATTTTTCTGCGATCCAGTTACAAAGTGGCGGAGATATTCCTCCAACATACCATTGAACCGCTCCGTCTGGCCATCAGATTGCGGATGAAAACTTGAGCTGTGACTCAATTTTGACCCAAGGCACTTAAAGAGTTGGGTCCAAAAGTTGCTAGTGAAGCGTGAGTCGCGATCACTAACAATGTCTTTTGGCAGGCCCCAATATTTGACAACATGAGAGAAGAAGAGTCGAGCTGTATCTTCTGCTGACATATATTGTGGGGCTGCAATAAAGGTAGCATACTTGGAAAATCGATCCACCACAACCAAGATAGTTGTCAGATCCCCGACCTTGAGCAATTCGGTGATGAAATCTAGGGAAACGCTTTCCCAAGGTCTCTTTGAGACAGCTAGTGGTTCCAAGAGTCCCGCTTGTGTCAAGCGGTCCGACTTATCCTTCTGGCATACTAGACAAGTCTTCACATACTGAGCGACATCATCGGCCATTTGAGGCCAATAATAGGCACAATGAAGTAACGTCATGGTATGTTCTTCACCGGGATGGCTGACCCACAGAGTATCATGACATTCCGCTAGAA